TTTTTTTTTTTTTTTTTTTTTTTTTTCCCTCCGCTGGAGCCTCGGCGATTTGTTTGAGAAAGGTGGGAATAAAGAGCGATAGGTTATAGATTTTTACTAAGATAAAATATAAATGTTTCCTTCCAATTTCCAGGATATAAATCTTTCCACAAAAAATTTAAAATACTTTAAGGTAGGATTTATTGAAATTTAAAATTCAAATATAACAAATCTCATAATTTATGGTAACATTAAATGCGCCAGATTTTTATAAATAAAAAATTTGAAAAAAATTACAAAAATAGAATGCATTAGTTGTCATTTGACTTTTCTTGCTACTAATTTTAGTAAATAGAATGACTCTTTATATATATATATATATATATATATATATATATACTAGTACATAGCCCATGCGATGCACGGAACATAAATATTAAATGAGTCATTTTCACAAAGTTTGTCCGTTAAGTAGCTCGGGGTGATATTAAATGAGTGGATCATAGGGCTCGTCCGTTCAAGTCTAAAAATGATAGAGTTTGATCATCTATTTTTTTTACCTCTTTTCATCAACTTCATTTTTTTTGTCAAGACATTAAACCTGAGCCTGGTAGCGCTAGCCCATAAATTAATTAATATATTATCTAGCTCACATGTATAATAATATATATTTGATTTCATTATATATATTTATTCCTTTATATAAAAAAAATAACAATTTTACGTAATCTTGTTCCTTGTATAATACTCATATTATTTTATTATAAAATTTATTATAATATAATGTCATTATTATTATTTATACAGGTTATAGATGTAGTCTTCTTCTTCTTTTTGTTTTATGTAATTGAAATATTTAATGTATGTTAATATTATTTATTAATGTAATTAATTTAAATTTAAAGTAAATATTTTGTATAAACATTTTACAAAATATACACAAATATTTTTTTATAATTTATTTTCTTATAATAAATAAACATTTTTTAATTTTATGCATTTATTAAACATCCTTGATATAAATTCGAAAATACTTGAATTATATGCAATTATTAATTCCATCCAATGTTATGGGAAGCAAATCATCCGGAAATGTAACAAAATGACAAGGAATTTTAAAATTTAAATTTTAAATGAGATATGTTTATACTTAAATTCTATGCAATTATTATTTTGTCTAGTTTTATGGCAAACAATTCAGTCAGGATTTTAATGTAACAAAATTTTAAAAAATTTTAATATTTAAATTTAAATTTGAAATGAGACATGTTTTTATTTGAAGTCTATTAGTCCGATTTTATTGCAAAAAATATCAATTAAGGATGTAATCAATGCTTACCGGTTTTCTTGGTATAAAATAATAATACAATTGGAAAAATGATAAAAATAGAATGCATTAATTATTCTTTGACTTTCTTGTTACTAAATAAAGTAAATAGGATGGCTTTTTATATATATATAGATATAAATATATTGTACAATTTTTTTTTCATAGAAAGAATCACTAATTTTACATACTAGATGACGACGAATTCGCAGATAGAACCAACCAACCAGTTGAATGTAGTTAGAAAGCTACATGAAGTGTAGCCTACAACCAACCTAACAACAAACACAACGCAAAACACTGAGAAACTACAACTAGGCTCGCACAATTGTAAAAAGAGAAGTTCACATAAGTGTAGAAGATCCCAAACGGAGAACCAAAAAAAGGACCAATAAAACACAAACTTACAATAAGTTGACAAAACAAAACTAGAAAAACAATAAAAACTCACGAAAGCAACGCTCTCCCCATCGGACAACGACTCCATCGCCAACTTGGCATATGTTACGTTGGTATTTCCCCTTGTTTTCTTTCAGGCTCGAGGGTCGGTATATACACGAAAAAAGGCGTTGTTCTTTATTTGTGGAGTGTTAGTCAGTGGCATAGGGTGGTGTTGCATGTATCCACACAAAAAATGATGGGACATATTGGACGGTGCTATCAACTTTATATGAGCGCGTTCAGACTGTCGGAACGATCGATAATCTTCCTCGAGAAACTTCTATGGGAGATTGCCTCACCGATCGAGCGATCGAAAGGAGTAAACGAATGGGCCAATCGAGGAACGACCCTGGCGGTCTTGGGCATGTTTGCTTACTTGGGTTGCGATTTACATTTGGGCCACATCATTCTGTGTGATCAGAATTTTAATGGTACAACAAACAACAACAATGTAATTGTTTAGGGTTCATGGTCGTACAAGATACCGAACTTGATCGATAAATATAATAGGTTGAATATCAACTGTAGGAAGTGGACATACATGTTGAAATCAAGGAGTTGGTCCACGTTGATGTGGAACTCGCTGATTTGAGGTGTAGGTCTTTGGTCGGGTCTTATTGTTTCATGATAAGGTTCGTCTCTCCACAAAGGCACTTCATGGGTTCTTTTGCGCGAGGTGACTCGTTGCAAACAGAGATCGAACATATGTGGTTCCGTATTGATGACAATTTTACACGTTTCTGCGCCAATGAGTATATTGTGGTGACTAGGCTTGCTTTGGAATCGTCCGTCTTTAACTCAAACTTAGCGCATCCTCATCAGTTATCGTCGATTTTGTATGAGCGGCATGGTTGCTAGTGGGTAGATATGCAGATGTTGCGTACTGACTACAATAATGAGGTGTTTCGTAGCTTCCTTTATGTGATAATAAGAGCGGCGAATATGTTGATGTTCTTCATCCTTGTTCATGACGACGAGATGATTGGTATATTGATACTTGCTGGTCGGCTTTGTATGAGAACGATCAGATGTGGGAGACTTTCCCATGCGGGGATTACTCGTTCCAATACATGTTCGATTACATGCATACGGCCCAATGCCATAAGAAAAATATAATATCTACAGATTTCACTAGTCATTGTGATATTGAGCTACAAGACAATCTCTGTATTAGGTCGTGCATGTGGAGCACGTACCTCCGTTAGATATTGGGAATCGAGGAAGGTCATATTTTCAGATACATTTATTTATTTAATATATGTGTTCAGTTATTTATAATTGGAGGTACATGAGAAGTTGGACTCATATGAAGAGGAGACTACAACCCTTTAGAATGTGAATGTTGAGGGGCCTTGATTTGTGCGGTAGGAGAACCCAACCCTTCGCCGTACGTGTGACTCGATGACGCCATGCACGTCGGATCAACAATATCAAATTGCATTTGAGACAGTGCATCCGAAGAAGCGCGCCCGAATCGTGGGTGAAGAAGGGTCGATGCTCCGGGAAGAGGTGAGACCAAGTGAGGAGAGACCGATGCACCAGGAGGAGGTGAGGTGATGTTCATCATATTTTCATGCATTATGAGTGATATAGTGTGATGTTTGACCGTGTTTATTGTGGGATTGCGCACCATTTCGTTTGATTTATTAATCTATGATAGAGGTATAGTTGTCGTTGGTTTTGCAGGAAATATGCCCGAAAAAGCGTTAAAGATGGAATCGGGACGAAAAACGGCAAAAATAGGGTGCAGTCAGGGTCACACGACTCGTGTGGTATGTGACACGAGTCG